AACAATACATATCCAATCAAAACACTGATTTCTTCTATAAATCAAACCATTTTGGGAAGAAAACACAATTTTTCTTTCTAGGTTCTACTTTTTTGTTATATTTAATCTGTTTGGAAACTCTTTCATAAGACATAAGACAGATAACAGCAAAAATAACTCTGCCTGTAAGTAGACAACTTTTCACTTCCAAAGTACTCTAGAAAGTGACACTTTCTTTTTGGGGGATGCAGGAAGAGGAAGGCTTAGTAAGTTTCTGCTTGCTTGCTTGCTTGCTTGCTTGCTTGGCTGGCTGGCTGGCTGGTTGGTTGGTTGGTTGGTTGGGTTTTTTTAGGTACTTTGGGGGAACATAGGCAATGACAGAATGAACAGCATATGACCTCAAAATGGGAAAATGTCCTTGGTCAATTATTCTTTTAAAATATTCAAGTTGACAAAATTGTCAATATTGTGTGAATTTGTTTTACGTTACTAGAATAGACAGCATTAGCTTTTTCCAGGCAGGTTAAGATATGGAGAAGGCTAGGGAAACAATATCATAAAATGTAGCACTTTTATAATTAGACAATACCAAGTATTTGATGATTGACCGTCAGATAGTAGGAAGATGTTGATAAAAATAAGAGGAAAGCGTACTGTTTTCCCCTCATATATGCAAACTCTATTATTTATGAAGTTCATTAAGAGTTTTATTAAAAGCTGAACAAAATGTTGGAGAAAGTGCTTCATTTATCTAATCAAAGATATTTAGTTTCAGGATTATTTAATGTATTTTCATGGCTGTACTTCTGCATTTTAAGTAAGTAAGTGCTAAAATGTAGTTTAAAAGAAAAAACAAAACCGTTTATTGAAAAGTAAGTGTGGGCTTGATCTTTGCTGCCTTTGTTTCAGTTTGTTTTATGGACAACACCTCTTTTGCAGTGAGGCTGGAAAGCATTCATTGCTAGGGGCAAAACTCCAGTCAAATTTTTGCGGTGGAAAAGGACCTGGGGGTGCTGGTGACAGCAGCTGAACATGAGCCAGGCTGTGCCCAGGTGGCCAAGAAGGCCAATGGCATCCTGGCCTGGATCAGCAATGGCGTGGCCAGCAGGGCCAGGCAGGGACTGTCCCCCTCTGCTGGGCACTGGTGAGGCCACACCTCAAATCTTGCTCTGGGCCCTGCAATTCAAGGAAAGATATCGAGGTGCTGGAACAAGTCCAGAGAAGGACAACGGAGCTGGGGCAGGGTCTGGGGCACAAGTCCTGTGAGGAGCAGCTGAGGGAGCTGGGAGTGTTTATCCTGGAGAAAAGGAGGCTCAGGGTGACCTTATCCCTCTCTGCAGCTGCCTGACAGGAGGCTGTGGCCAGGCGAGGGTCAGCTCCTTCTCCAGGCAACCAGCGACGGGAAGAGAGGAAATCGTTTCAATTTGTGGCATGGGAGGTCTAGGTTGGACATAGTACTGTTTCACGTAGTGTTTCACAAAACACATCACAAAACGTTGTTCCAAATTGCTTCACGGAAAGGGTGATTAAGAGCTTCGAATGGGCTGTCAGGGAGGTGGTGGAGTCATTGTCCCTGGAACTGGTCGACATGGTGATATTCGGTCACAGGCTGGAACGAGAGGTCTTTTCCGAGCTGTAAACTGGGTCTATAAATTCTGTAAACACAGGGTCTCTCCCCGGGGGACGAACAAGCCACTGCAGACGCCACACCCGTCTGTTATGAAAGACCTTTCACACCCACACAAGCCCAGAACTGCAATCCCAGCCAACAATGCGCGACGGGCGGGCGGGCCGGAGGTGTCCCGGCGGGATCGGGGGCCTGGTGTCCCGGAGCCAGGGCCGGAGCCGCTCCCCGCCCCCGGGGCCCGCGCTGCTGCGCCTGCGCGGAGGGGCCGCGCGCGGGCCCGCCATGGCGGCGGCGGCGCTGCGGCCGCGGGTGGCGGCGCTGGGCCAGCGGCTCGGCCCGCCCGGGGCCCGCGGTGAGCAGGGAGCGGGGACGGGGAAGGGGGCGGCGCGGGCGGCCCCGAGGGCGTCTTCGCAAACGGTGTGTGCGCTTGGGAGCATCAGAGCCTGGCCGCGGATGGCCTTAATTTAATCATGAAAGGTGCTGTCTGACAGATGACTGGCCTGCTTCAGTGCTGTATTATTATTATTCAGCCGCTCTTGAAGATGCCCCAAGGATGGATAGGAAAGCCATGTGGAAAAGAAGAGTGAGTAAGGCTAAGGGAGCTTTGTGTTCTTCCCTCAGATACCTTCTTAGCGAAAGGCTCTGCTAATCTGGACAAGCTGAAGGACCTATGCAACGAAGGGAAAGAAAATCCTTCCGCGCTTTTTCAGCTCTATACCCAGGTACATTGTTACGGACATCAAACTGCCTTTCAAGAAAATGCGTGTAGGGTGTGGGAGACGGTTTGGTGTAAAAAGGAGGGTGGGGCAGAAAGGCGGCTCAGTTACTTGGGGGTGTGTGGTGAGCGTCTCTGAAGCACTGAACCGCTTCGGACTTGGATAACTTGGAGTCCTTCGTGCTGTTACTTTAGGGACAGAAGGGGGTTTGGCCTGACAGTAACCATCACCAGTCCTTCAATACTTCCAACTTGCACATTTTGTAAACTAAATGTTAAAAAATACCTTCGAATTGTAGTGTTTTATAAACTAACAAGTTTTCTATGTTACAACACACATCCGCTTGATTATTTTGACAGGAGCATTTCTGCCTTGTATATGTTCTTGTTTTCATAGGCTGTCTTAGACATCACATATTTTGAGGAAAACCAGCTTGTGGATGAAGATTTTCCAGAAGAATCTGCCTTGCCAAAACTTAAAGAACTTATTTCTGTTCTTTCAGAACCAGAAGACCTAGTGAGGGAATGCGGCATAAAAGAAGTGAGTAGCCGGACGACGAATTATTTCATTGTTTAAAAACAAAAAATCTGAAATGGGACATAGTATTTGTATTTTTGATGGGCAGAATTTAAAGTGTTTTGAAGCATTTGGAAGTCTTTTTGGTATTTAAATAGGGATTCCTGAAAATATCGTTTCAAATGCCTTGTTGTGTGCTCAGAATTTCTCTTGCTATCATTTGATGATTCCACAGGCAGTTAACTCCTATTTGACCTACAGTGATAGGTTAGGCTAGCCTTGTCTCTCTGAGTGCTGCTGTCAAACACAGCCCCTGAAATAAGAGATTTACACATTTGCATGTGTGCCAGTGCATATAAGTAGTTCAGGTGGTTTATTTTTGTGTTAGACCCGTTTGTTGGATTTTATTTCAGCCCCTCAACATCCTTGGTGCAGAGTTGTTAGAATGTCTTTACTGGAGAAAAGGAGCCCTGCTTTACATGTATTGCCACACAGCAAAAGAAAGGAGTGAATGGGTACAAGAAAACATTGCCACGTTTAAAAAGGTACAGGAGATGAAAATGTTCTGTGGGCTTTAAAGTTTGACTCTTCACTTTTAAAATATGGCTGGGTTTTTTGTTCTGGTTTTTTTTTTTTCTTTAATTAGGATTTTAGGGCTTCATAGGAAGAAGTATTTCTGCGTATCATTAATTTAACGAGAACTTATCTTTTCCTCCTTTTTAACTGTACTCAGTGTCTTCATGATGGAGTTCAGTACTTGATGAAGATGCTTAGCTTTAGACGCCCTCTTCAGCTAGATGAAGATATCTCACTTCAGGATAAAGACACAGCTAGATTACTCAGTGAAGGTAAAAAAAAACCCAAAAAATAACTCCAGGAAACCTTTTAACCCACTCCTCTTAATAACTGGTTCACTTTATGAAATGCTTTTTTGCATGTGTTTATTGTTTGACCTAATTTATGTTCAAGACTTGACACTTTTTTGAACAAGAAGATAATAAATGAGGCAAATAAGCAGGCAAGAGTGTCCCCCCCTTTCTTTTTAAACTCCTGAATTTTAGGACGTGTCAGCGCTCATTTTCCTGGTGTTTTATGAGTGCACTGCAGGGAGGTGAACTGAGGCAATGAGGGTTTGATGCACAGTAGTGTTTTATGCTGGCAGTGTTTATGCACAGTATTTTATTGTGAACCATCCAGTTCACCATTGTCAGATGCTTAGGGCACAAATATGACTGCAGAGGGTGCCAGAGGTTCACATATTGATCTTCCCTTTTAGCTCTAGGACAGTAGGAGTACAAACACAATTACAGATTTCATACAGGTGTAAAAACTGGATGCAGAATTGGTTAAATTTGGCAAATGTTCTTTGTCCCCACTTTCTGTAGCTTTATGTAAGTTTCATTCCTGTTGAGCTTTTCTAGGAGGATCTGAGGCTGCATTAGTGTGATGCAGGTGGGGTGATTCCAGCTCTACTCTGACTGTAGCAGGATATGCAGCACCTTCTTGTTTAATTTCATCTGAAAGTGGCATTGCTGCTATACAGCTCCATAATGTAAAGTCAAGTTGTGGATTTATTTAGCAGGATTTTTTTTTTTTTGGTGAAAGACACACGTGTGCCTTTGAATTCAAATACTAATAAAGCTTCTCTGGTTAACCTGAGTTAAGATGACCTCAGACAGTATCTCTTAGGCTTAAACTGTGGGAGGCACAGAAATACTCCAGAGTAAATATATACAGTCATGCCTGTGCCAAAGAGGCTGTAAAGAAATACTGACACTTTATGCGATAATTAGGCAAACAAAACTATAGAAATAATATTTACATGGCAGTCTTAAAAGATTTTAACATTATGGAGGGCCAAACTGGACAGAGGAATGAGCACGGTCTTGATCCATGATTTTCTTCTGGGCATTATATATTTATATAATTATATACTTATGCTGTCTTTTTGGAATTTTCTTCCCCATTGTTACTGAAAAAGAATTAACAAGCTGTGTAATTTTCTGTAGCAGAACGATAAAGTACTTGATCTAAATTATTTTTGCAGGTATATTTAGTGACACACACTTACTGGCAATGATGTACAGTGGAGAAATGTGCTACTGGGGACTGAAACACTGTGGAGAAGGGAAGCAGGAAAGCCTTGAGTCAATAGATCCTGTGTCTAACAGTGACCCGGGCAGCAGATCACAGAGCATATCGCTGGATTTCCAAGAAACGGGGAGAAACATGTTAACAAAGTATGTGGCCGTATGTGAGGGACCCTTAAAAGGTCAAGGGTGGAACACAACAACTGCAAAACAAATGCTGCATTACTTTGTGAAATCTCACAACTAAGATCCACTGCGTCGTCTGTGCTAGAAGAAAACTCGTGACATAAGAGCAGTCTTCGTCACTGACTTATTTTCTTTTTGATTTTTTTTTTCCAACCGAAATGTATACTTCCGTTGCATTAAAAACTTGCTTTCCAAGGACTCCCGGACCGTGGTCCAAAGTGCAGTGCGGTGCTGGGGCGTGGGTGCGGCAGCCGCCGTGGGCAGCGCCGGGGCGCGGTGCCGGAGCGGGGCGCGGTGCCGGAGCGGGGCGCGGTGCCGGAGCGGTGACAGCGGTGCCGGAGCGGTGACAACGGTGCCGGAGCGGTGACAGCGGTGCCGGAGCGGTGACAACGGTGCCGGAGCGGGGCGCGGTGCCGGCGGTGCCGGAGCGTGCGCGGCGCTGCGCGGGGGCGGTGCCATGGCGGCGGCGGCGGAGCCGCGCGGTGCCGGCCTGGAGGCCGCGGTGCGGGGTGGGCTGCGCCTCCTCCGGGAGCGCTGGATGCGGAGCACCGCGCCCGCCCCGCCGCCGGCGCCCCCGGACGGCGCGGGGGGAGAGAGCGCCCTGCAAACGCTGCCGGTGAGCGGGGCCCGGTGCGGCGGGGAAGGGGGGGCAGAGCGCTGCATCCCACCCCGTCCTCCTGCACTGCTCAATTCGGGAGTTCTTAAACCGCTGCTCTCAATGGTTTTCAGATCGACGTGCAGCTGAACATCATGTCCTTCCTCTCGCCCCAAGATTTGTGCCGTTTGGGAAGCACGAGTTGTTACTGGAGGGCAGCTGTGCAAGACCCGTTGTTATGGAGGTATTTTCTCCTGCGGGATCTTCCCTCTTGGACATCTGTTGATTGGAAATCACTTCCAGATGAGGAAATTTTTAATAAAGCCTTTTCAGAGGTCAGCGACAATGAACTGTATGATTACATGGCAGTGTAAGTATCTCCATATTCTCTTACATTACTTCCAAGTGTGCCTACAGCAAGCAGTATATTCAGCCCACAGGCATGTTTCATATTTACTTTAGAAATAAAGTAAATATTTATTTTAGAAATAAAGCTCTGCTGTAAGCTGCTGTTTAAATGTTGATGTGTCTCAAATCCATTGTTTATTTTGGAAATACAATTTCCTGTTGCTCTATGGTCTGGTCAGCTCTTTCTGTTTGGAACTCAACAAGAATGTAAAACATTGTAAAAAAGACAACGGTAATGCTATAAAAAATTGCAGCTTTTTGTAAACTGTCTGTCTGCTGTGGCACAGAAATACTGCTTACTGTTGATCTTGATAAAGAAGTGTTCTTTGCTCTCAGTGCCATGGCAGTTATTTTCATAAAAGTGCCAAGAAGTCTTCAAACTACAGTGAGTGAAATGAATCTTCATTGTTTTTCATGTTATTTGGAAGACCTAATAATAAAAAAGTGCACAGAATGTGCACAGAATAACAAGTTGTATTGTTTTAGGTCTGATTGTTAAAGGCTGTAAGACGAAGACTGATTTCAGATAGTATAGGTGAAAAGCATAGCAACACAATAAATATGTTCGGATGACTGAGAAGAACTCTTAAAACAAGTTAGTTTGTGGTGATTTCTTTTCTAAACTTCATTTAGTTCCTTTGATTTGCAGTAGTGGTCTGTAGATTTGTTTGGGACTTCTGATTTATTTGCAGTTATATTTTCCAAAGGTGGTCCTTAACACGTTGCTTTGTGGTAAGTGCACTACATTCTGCCATCTCTGTGCCCTTCATTCTCTTTTAGTAGGTGGGAGCAGTACCCACAGAATTTGACCTGCAAAATATGGACTGATTTTGAAATTGGGTTTAAATCTGTTTAGGTGTGAATCACTAATTTGAAACCATTTGTCACTGATTTCCACTGTGTCTACACACACTTAGCTGTTTTGCTCATCTCAACTGAAACATTTCAGTGTGGTATAAAAGAGCCCACATATGATGCTTCCTTTAAGTGGGGTTTGTTCAGCAGCAGCCTACCATGGCTCCAGAAGCAAACTGAAACTGCTGCTCTAGGATGTCTTGTTTTTCTTCATCTCAATTACGAGTCTTTCCATGCCTTCTAGCATCCACACCAAACGAGCATCTAAGTTTGCAGACAACACTTGTGTCCTTCCACAGCTTGCATGCTTTCTGACTACAGGGAAAATGTTTATTTTCAAGTGGTTACTTACTATAAACACAAAATAATTTCATTAAGGTTTAAAATGCAATCAGCCGGCTCATTTTTAAAATTACATTTTTAATGTGACTCTTCTGCTTTGATGTTATTTTTCCTATGTTGTGTTTTCAGTGAGGTTTGAAAGTCGTGATTGTTATTTTATTTTTAAATAAACTGAAAGATTTGTAGATAGAAGTGTACTGAGGTCCAAAAAGTCAGTATTTGGACTTTAGAAGAACTGATGCTTTTGCCTGCTTTGTACTGCTGCTTGAAACCATCAGTTTGGAACTTTTTAATTTTTGACCTATGCTTTGAGTTGTACCAGTTGCAAAGCATAAGAAATGTGGGACCTAAATTAATTTGTTTGATTAATACCTCTTCTGTATTTTGTGTTTAATTTCTAGTTGCATCTATTTTAAACAGATATAAAAGGAGCTGTCCTGAGGGTAGAAGAAGTTTGAAATCGATCCGTCCCCGGTATGGGACTGTGACTTCCTTTTTGCAATCACTGGTCACTCAGGCAGAACCTCGCTTTGCTATGTTTGGGCCAGGTTTGGAAGAGCTGGACAACTCTTTAGTACAAAAGATGATGACATGCCCAGAAATTCTGCTGGTAGCTGGCCTACCTCAGAGACAAATTCATGGTAATGATGGTTTTGGCTTTTGGCCTTCTTGTTTCCTAAAAAGATATAACACAAAAAAACTTTGAGGAAGAAATGAAGAAAAGGAACAATTTTTTTGTATCCTTAAAATTCAGTAGAATCATGGTAAAAACAAACCAATTTCTGATGTGTTCAGATGGATAAATGCAGCAAACATTTGGGACAAATTAATAGCTTCAGTGAATTTATTATTAAATTTGGAACATTGTCTGAAGAATCCTTTTGCTCCTTGTACTTCTATTTTCATCCAAAATTCCGTGTCACTGCTGCTGTTGTGATCAATAAATGCAGACAAGCCTTTCTATCAGTACTGCTTGCAGTAAGTGGCTAAAAAAGACCTTTGTGACTTTACACAGGAACTCAAGGCTGATCCTTATACTATTCTGTATTCTGATATCAAATTATGTAAATTTTACTTAGAAGAGTTAGAGGAGCAGGTGGGGGATTTTCTATGTTTTAAAGAGTAGCTTTGAAAGTCTAATTTGACTTCAGTCCAAGCCAGAGACAAAAATGTGTTACTCTTTAACTAACAGTTATTTCATCACAGCAGAAGTCAAATAATTAAACTGTATTTATAGGAAGCATTACAATTATTTTTAGTGGGGTTTTTTTTCTCTCATATGTCCTTTCCATGTAGATTGTCATAAGCAGACTGGAGCCTTTTCTATGCCAGTTTCAGCTAATAAATACAAGTCTGGTTCCTTTCTGTTGTAGATTTCTAGCTCCAATTCTAATAATCAGAAATACGGAAATGGTTTTAATACCTTTGACTGGATTTTCATGAAATTAAAAGTCTGATCAATTGGAGCATGTATAAAGTTTAATTGTAAAATAGTAAATCTTCTACCCCTAAGAGTAATATCTAGGTTTGAATATATTCATTTTGTAGCACCACTGGAATTTTTGAACTACCACTTAGTTGTATTCAGTTGCCAAATAGCTGTAATCTCATAGATTCATTTTTTCCCTGTAGGAATTGGATCAGGAGTCAGTTTTCAGTTTAACAACAATCAAAAATTCAATATTGTGACATTGTATTCCACCACGAGGTAAGATAAGATCTGTTCTCCACCAAATGAACAGTACAGTTTCTAATTTATTTTAGAGTTTTCGTATTTTTGTCCTGTGACTTTTCATGTGCACTTTCTCATGCATGAATATCCTTTATAAATTGAAGTTTCAATGCATGCCTTTGATTTTCCTTTCTTTTTTCAACCACTGAGTTTTCTCATTGAAGTAAAAAGCTTTTCAAAACAGTCTATGTAGTAAAGGTGTTCAACATGCACATTACAGGTGTATCTATCCCTCTTAATACCTTGGTTGAGTCCCTTTGGAAACACTCGTATGCACTCATCCTGGAGTGTATTTTCATAAGCATCTCGCAGTTTGCCAACCATCTCTCAGAAAGAAAGGAGAGCAGGAAGGGGCAGGGAGAAATGAAACCATTTTTCTGGCTGAATCCATTTTCCTGTCCCTTTCCTGCACTGCCTAGACTTTCAAGATTCTCTTTTGGTGTTCTCAGCTAACCTGACCACTGAAATATCTTTCAGTGTGGAAAGGAGGAGAGCAAGGGAGGAGCAAGCTGTTGCTGTGAATAAGATGTTTTACCAAGAGAACAGCACAGTAGGGAACCAGCAAGCCATGCACTACAGTGTAATAGCTCAAGTGAGGAAGGTGTGCGAAGTAGTTGATGGATTCATTTATGTTGCTAATGCAGAAGCTCATAGAGGTAAGGAGTTTCTCTTTATATTTTGTGAATAACTGGTGTGTTAGGTTACAAAGAATATGCAATACATCAAAATCCATGTTCTGATCCTTTAAAAATCTGCTGTTTCTTCATGTTGAAGAGGTCTCCTACTCTAGACACTCTCATCAACATGTTAGGGATTGTGGCCCCTTGTTTTGTTTATGGCACATACTGATATGGTTGCTATCTAAATTACATGTGGGAAATCACATGGATTAAAAAACAAAAAAAACCCCATGGGTATGTATAGGAGAAACTTGAAAATGTATTGTGTGTGCTGTGGAAACAACCTTTACCTGGAAAACAGTAAAAAATGCAATTAGTCTAAATCAGTTTAGTCCTGTGAAATGAAAATCCAAATAACAATTCCGGTAGTTGTCTTTACATTCATCAGCTTTGAATGGAGGAAAAGGGCTGTCTCAGAAAAGAGACAGGCAAAAAACTTTGAAGGGACACACTAAGAGAAAAGTGCATTCAGTAGGGAAAGGCTGCTGACTGTGCAGTGTGTGGATACTTCTGAATGGCTTGTTGGAATTTTGATCTCTGTGAGGTACTCAGAAAACACTCTGATGTTAGGATTGAAATAGGCTGCTTGAAATAGGTAGAATCTATGGAGATCTTTAACATACAAATGTCATCAATATCTGTGTAACATAAGGGCAGATGAGTAAGTCTTGTGATAAGCAAAACAAGATCATTTGGCCCTTCCAGCCCTCTGTCTAAGTGCCTCTGAAATAAAAAACAAAAAAAAAAAAAAAACCAATGGAAACACCTTATTTTTTTGCATATACTTAAGACTCATATATTAAAAATTGTTTCTTAGCACATGATCGTCAGGAGGAGCTGGCTCGTATTTCGGCAATGATTGATCCAGCCCTCGGGCCTCCGAACAGACCTCTGCTGGTTTTGTCCTGTGTGTCTGACATCGGTGTGGAAAGAATTCCGTGTGTTTACGTGGCACATCAGTTGCAACTTAATCTGCTGCATCAGCCCTGGATGGTACTTGCTCTTAAACCTTTATTTTCTGTTCAACTGCAGTTTAAATTTAATTTAAGCTCTCAAGTTCCTTAACTATATCTACCTAAGCAAGAGTGCAGCTTTCAACACTAGTACATGAGCTTTCCATTCAAGTGAAAGATTTTGTTTCTCTGCTGCTCCAAAATGAATTATTAGCTTGTCTGAAAACAAGAAGCTTAAGTGACTTGCCCAAAAGCACACAACAGACTTAAGATGGAGCAAGAATGTAAGGAAGGACAAATTATGGTCTTGAAGGGAGTAAGGAAACTTCAGTTCATTTAAATCTAAATTTCCTGAGTCACAGCTTTGGACACAAGATAGATTTTTAGGACATTTTTAAAAGACTGTTTACTGTCACTCAGTTGATGTGATGTCTTAAGTTTTTGACAGATCAGTTTTCTATCTAGGATGTGAGGTCTTGAACCTGGTTTTTTATGTTTGTAAAGGACAGTATCTATCAGCATGGTTCAGCCACACAAAATGCATTTTTGTTGATGTTGTGTAGCTGAGGAATAACTTAACTAGAAAAAAATCCTAATTGAGGTAATTCCTTTGTTTTCATAAGGAAAATGTTTATAGGCTTTTTACAAAACATACCATTTATAATAGCCACTGGATGGGATATTACAAAATCTGAGTGTTAATGATGCATAGAAGTCTAAAGCTCTAAAGTGGCAGTTTTACTTTTAAGAGTAACAAGATTTTTCAAGTGGATTGCCAACTGTAAAGTAAATGTAATCTTCCAAAACAGCTGATGAAACAATTGAAAAAAAATTCACCTCTGATACTAAGAGTGAAAGCTTTCTTAACATGACGGGGTTTTTTTGTTTTCTTACTTTTATAAAACCTTTTTTTGTCTAAGGGACCTTTACACTAGTGATAAAAATTTAGATTTGATATGAGTGTTTCTGACTTAACAGATAGACACAGAGTGATATTAAAATACTGTTAGATCCTGCTAGCTGTTACCTCTAATACAATAACTTTTAATTTTAATTTTATTTTCACAGATGCAGGACACTGTAGCTGCAACTTTAGATGGACTGCTAAATGGAATTGAGTGGCTCTTGGAAGAAGCAAATTGTAAAAGTGCCCAGTAGTAGGATTAGGCTTTGTTGCCCTGTATAAACCTTTTGATGTTTTCCCTTTCGGTTAAAGTAAGAATCTTGTCCTTCCTGCCAGAGTACTGTCAGAAGGGAAAACTAATAAGGCAGACCTGTATATATTTCACTGCACATACTTAAATCCTTAACATTTTTCCAAAATTAGAAGTACAAGTAGGATTGCCTCGATTCTAGATGCAACGAAGAAGTGATTTGAAGGGACAATCTTGAGTGTTTTATTGTTTTTCTCTCCTTTCAACCAGAAGCCTTAAGAGTACAATCTTTTCCAATATATCTGATGGTCTAATATCTTCTATAAATAAATATGTAACACTACATTAGTTTATCAGTACAGCCCTATCACACATTTAGTAAATATATTCAATGGAGATCTTTACAGTGATACTTCCTGACCGAAGAAAACATACTGCAGGTTGTACAGTAGGAGGTTGACAGAAAGACAGTAACTCTTGAATTTAGAAAAGTGAGTTCCCCTGAATTTTTCTAGAAAAAATGCCTAGACAAAAAATAGTGGGGGGAATTTTCAGCCCAGACCAAATTTCTTAGAAGCAAACAAACACTGTTGCATATGAATTGTTGTTTCTTTGTCGTGATCTTACTTAAACCAACCACAATAGACTTCAGCATCTTTTTCTTTCTGTTACACTGAAAACATTACCTTGAACTGGATATTCCTCTGATTCCATGAACAAATGTTAAACAGGATCATTTGGGACTTTTTTGCATACACAGACTATCAAGTTTCCCAAATAGTTGTGGCCATTTGCAGATATGAATTATACCTGTCTTGAAATTTTCTATGCATTTGCAAATAGTTTTATGAAAAGCAAAGCAACATTTTAAAGCTGGAAATTGTGTTTTCCATATAGATGTCTTTCAGGATAATCATCATCTTCCACCTTTTCATGTTTTTACTATTGGGTGAATGTTCAGAAACTTCACTTGGATTTCTTGCAGAGCATTTATTTGCTTTATTCTGGGCTTTTTGTTTTATTTTGTCCTATCATCATGGAAATTCAAGTGTCTCATAGCTTTTTCTTGGAACCCTAGATAAATGATTACATAACACACATACAGCTGTAACTGCCCTCAGTCTGGGATACTTGAGTGATGATCAACACAACCATGTCAGAAACATTCTGTTTGAGATGATGTTTGGGATTTTTTAATGAACTAGAAAGTATCTCCTTTTTTTTCATCTTTATGCAAAATTAATCCATTTTCCCAGATTTTTTGGTGTCTCCTAATCAGGGACACATGAGAGTTTAAAAGAAAATCCAAAGGAACATTACAATGAAAATTCTGTGGTTTATACTTTTTTTTTTTTAATAGTGTATGTGTTTTGCCCTTTGAAACAGAGCAGACCCAACAGATTTAAGTGTTTGGAGTAAAATTCCATGCTTTGTGACTGGGTGTATGAGATTTTCCTCCTAATCACATTAATTTCATAGTGGTCTGTTTGTATGGGATTGAATGGAGCAACCTGATTCTGTGTTTGCAACTACAAATATGCAGGGGTTATGGAAGATCCTCTTTCTACTTTCTTCATCAGGAATAAATACTTTTTTAAAGAATGATATTTAGAGTCTTCCTGTGTGAGTTAATCCCCTTACAGGTGTGTCATCTATAGTTATTAATAAACAAGGTTATTGTATGTTACCAGTTTAATTAAGATAACTCACTGTCATTTCAAAGGATTAGGATAATGTAGAGTATGTAGTTTTTCTGAAAGATCTGTTAGATTAACTTAAAGCTAGAATACCTATCAGAATTACAGGTTTTAAGGGTGTAGTCTAGAAAACACAGTGGGCATGAGAAGTCTGTACAGTCACAGAGCTCCATGATTAAATGCTGTGGTGGATCAGCAAGGCAAGGAAGATGAGCATGGACACTGTCCAAAGGAGCAGCTGGGGTGCACAGAGATAGGCTGTGGAAGAGGCAACCAGCTTGTTGAGCATATACAGCAAATAGTTGAAGAGATGCACTGCCTTTTACATTTGACAATTTCTCCTATTTCAGTTCCTGAGTCTGCTGAATTTAGAAGCATAGAAATCATTTAAGCTTGGGACTGCCATTTTTAGAAAGTCAAAAATAGTTGGATATGGAATATTAGAACATGACTTAAGTGTATCTCAAAACTTTGTAATGTAAAAAGAAAACTACTTAAAAAAAAAACAAACTGATTGGTTTTGTATTTATCAGAGTAGATGCAACTGTGATGGGTTTGTGAAAAATCAAACCAGGACCTGGATCCCAGGAATCTTGCTTTCCTAGGGATGAAGGATTTGTACCCACTGAGGCAGGATGTTTATCTAAGCAGTGGTCACAAAATAAGAGATTAAAATTACAAAATTACAATATATGTGATTTATAAGAAAACTCAGTTACTGAGACTTCACCTGAGCTGCTTTCAAAAAAAGACAGTGGCCATGGGGATGCTAATTTTCAAATCTTTGAAAATTTAAATAACAAAAATGCCTGCTGCCAGCCCCAGAGCAGTGCCTGGTGGCACCTGTCAGGCTCTCAGACAGAGGCAGCACGCTGTCACTGGTGAGATGTCTTGCACGTTATGATGATAATGGACCAGCCCTGGATCTAAGCATGAATGTCAGGACCCTTCCAGCTGCAGCTTCAGAAGGAGCTGTGGCTCTCTGTGTGTCCTGCAGGATGGCATTGCTGATCTGCATCAGCACTGATGCTGTCCAGGCACATCCCTACACCCTTTACCAAAATTCCTCCAAGTAATCAATTGCACTCGCTGCTCAGAAATGCAGGAAGCGGGTGCAGTTATAGAAAGACCTTTGGGAAAATTGAAATGCTTTTCAAAGGCTCATAGATGGGGAATATGCTGCCTTTTAATCTGGTGGGTATTGTCAATATCACTTTGTATGGCAGCATGAATATCACAGCTGAAAAGAACAGATGTAGTTGCTGTCAGAAGACGTATGGAAATAATCATTGGCATTATTGCAAAGTGATTGGTGTCTGTAATTTATTGTGTTTTTTACGCCACTCTAGCACTAGTGGTTCTGGATAAATTCCTTGTCTCAAATACAGGAGTAGAGAAATAACATTCTTTGTTCAGTTACAGAATGTGATATAGCTAGAGCCTATACTTAAACCTCAGAGGATGTCTGAACAAAGGCTGCCCTCAGTTGTCTTAGGAGGATGAAACTGCAATCAAGAATGTAGGTAGTATATATATATGCATAGAGCAGAGACCCGCCAAACAACAAAACATGATGGGTCTGGATAAGGGGAATGTAGTGAAACATTCCTCAGCTTTAGCCAGGGCCCCGTGGAGAATCTATATAGTAGAAATGCTACACAGCAGCAAAGAAGCTTCCTGACTCCAGGGACATCCGCCCTATAACCTATCCCTACAGGCATGTAAGGCAATATCTTGTTAACCCTACCATCGGTCATTTATGATCCTTCTAACCTTTTGCCATTGGTCAGGATTGGAACCGGGCCAAGGGTATAAAAGTAGCATACTGTACCCCTTCTAACTCGGAAGAAGAAGTGCTGAGACCCTTCATGGACCCCTCCAATAAAGCCATACTCGTGGAACAGCCAGTGTCTTCTCCTTCTCCTCTCTCTACCGTCTGCTGGAGCCTCAAGCCCAGGAAAAAAGCTACCTAGCAAGCAAAGCTGAAATCATAAGAGCTGGCTAATCACTAAGAGCTGAATATCCCCCTGCTTGCTAGGTGCTGACCTGCGGCCTTGGTCTGAGTGAGCTGGCCTCTGGCACTCAGTCCCCTTGGGGGCTGAGCTCTGGAGCTGGAAATAGCTTGCCTAGGATAAGACAAATTAAGGTTCATTTAGGGGAATATCTAAGAACCAGTGAGATTAGATATCTCCTTCTCCAGCATTACCGCATCTCTGCTGAGCAGCTGTTGGCAGGTACCAGTCTGGGCATTACTGGCCAAGGTTCCTGAGCAGCCACTCTCTTAGGATTCTGTCAGGACCCAGGACATCCCTCTGGCTGTCCTGAGCAGCCACGACCCCTGCCAGGGGTCTCAGAGACCCTGGCACAGAGCCCAAAAATGCCTGTGGTTTTCATTATGACCCGTTTGCAAGTTACCAACCTTAGATGATCTGCAAGCCGTGACAAATTAAGTAGAATGATAGTGAATTTATCACTGGGTGGAAAAGTAGATTTTGGGGTTTCTAGAATGGAGGTTCAGGGGCCAAGATGGAGGGATCTGGGCATGTCCTGCCTTTATACTTCCTCTTCTTGGTCTCCATCTTCTGCTGTGATGTTGGCACTTTTAGATTGGTTTAGAGTAGAAGCTCACTGTCTAACATAGGTGATAAGTATTGGAAAGTAATTGTAAACATTGTATACATAGTTTTTAGTATAAAGACATAACATTGCTCCAGAGGCAGGCAGAGTGCCTCTGACTGTCATGGTGAGAGGACCTCAGCAGGACAGGAGAAGGAATTTTATAGATAAGGAGCAATAAGCAACCTTGAGACCAAGAAATGAAGAGCCCTGACTCCTTCTTCAAGCGCCGGGCTGGGAAAAGAGACTTTCCAACTTTTCTCGGGTCACTCTGACCAGCTAGACATCACGACAGGGTTCCTTCCTCCAGCCTCTTAAATGTCTTAGTGACACTTTGCTGGATTCTCTGCAGAGAGAGTCCAGCAAAGTGCAGGCTTAAAACTGGACACCCTCCAGATTCAGAACTACAAGTCCTGGGCAGAGGGGAATTGAGCACTTGTCCTCAGCGTAGCCTTCATCACTGTGTGGGCACACTACTGAATCCAGGTTCCCTGGTCTCCCAGGGCCTCAGGTCTCCTTTTTGGAGCTGCTCCCAAACCAGTCACCTGTCCTGCACATGTGCAGAGTGCTCTCTGCTGGGGGCAGGACTTTGCATCAGGAAGGCTCTGAATCACCTCTTAGCCCACAGGATGGGCTAACAGTATTCTCACTTGCAGTATTTCTGGCTGTCCTTGCCCAAGGAGCCTACTGTCTCTGGGAACACCAGCCTGCATGTGACAGCACACAGAATCAGTCACCTCATGGGAAAAAATAGGCATTCAGTCTTTTTCTGAAGGCTGAAATCAATCAAGCCATTTGCTCCATCAAAAGAAAGTTGAACAATACTAGTCTTAGAGTCTCAAAATTAATTCCTCCATAGTATGCAAACTACTGGTAGACAAGAGCTGTAAGTATATGAAGCTCTGATATAGTTCTAGAAATAGATTTCACCCAGTTCTGTGAAGTGTTTCACTGTGAAGTAATCCTGATGAGAACCCATAAAGACCTACTGTACTCATGAAATTATTTAATACTACTCTTTACAAAGTGATAACAAAAATTCACAGCTTTCTCACATAAGAATAAAGGAACTGCTGTCATTACACATTAACTGAGGACCGAGGGTTGTATTTCCTAATCTCTTAATCTGTGGTGCTTTGTTGATAAAGGAATATAATTTTGGTGTGGCATCTCTCATGTCTTCCCCACAAACTTAAATTATGAACACATTTCATGCCTGATACCACACTTTCCATAACTGTGAACATAAAAGGGCTACACATCAAGAACAAAAGCAAGCCTTTTTCTCTATTTGAACCAAATAACCTTTTGTAGAAGGTTTTTCACAAGTTTCCTAAATGTAACTAGAAACACCTGTTGCTTAGAACTTCCTCTCATAAGAGCAATGGTGTTAACAGCCAATTCCCTTAGACATTCAACTGGCTTAAGCTTAAATTTTGTGAAGATTTAAAACAGTGTCCATACCTTTAGTTCATATGAAAGAAATAGGTTAAATCTGATCTGCATATGTGCTGTACATTAAATTAATGGGATAAATGAAATTTTTTCTTGACCCTGAATAATGAGGATTTAAGTAATGAATTACCTGAGAATCCTCTTTTATGACTATAACACTTACACATCACACATCCAGACCTTGGGCAGTATAGCATAAGGATGCACTGACACAGCTATACATTAAGCTTCTTTGAAAAACTACAAGCTATTAATGCAAGCAAGAAAATAAATGCAAATTACACGTTTAACTGACAATATTAAAGGAATCCTATGGGGGTTTATTTTCAAAATTAGAGAGTCAAAATTTGTCAAAATATATATTATTGAAAGCAATGAACCCAGTTATCTAATTACTGCTACATTTCTCTAAAACAAGAGAGGACCCTGAGTATAATCAATACATGGTTGAATTATGTACTTGAATTCAAGCATTTTTCAGTCTTTTGTCGAAAAGAATTGCTGCTGAGCCAATATCAATATCCTTCTTTTCATCTGAGATTTGAACTGCTTTTAGGCTCACTATAACAAAAAATGTTCTACCAAAGATTTATGTTTTCCAGCTTTATTTTGCCACAACTATGGAGTTAATATAAATAAGCTGGTGTGCATACACACATTTTGATCCCCCACTATTCTCTGATCGCTTGTTCCAGTCACAAGTAGCTAATAACATAGATATAAACTGAAAAATAAATGGCTGAAAGGACATATTGCTGTGAAGAATTCTGGGGGTGTCTTGGTATGCCTGAAGGATTAAATAGTTTGAGGGTCCCAACTGAAAAGGAGGCATTGGAAACTGCTGCCACAGTACCCAGGATTCACGGCAGGCAATTAAAATCAACAACCACGGAAAATTCTGGCTAACATATAACCTGATACTGATGTTTCCACAGTGCCTATTATCTATGGGTGTCCCTGCTGCCCCCTGAGTGACATCCTCAAGCTAGCATGCTCAGCCAGCTCCTGTCTTACTTCTCCCACAGTGGTACCTTCCATGCATCTCTGGTCCCTAAGCATTCCAGCACAGCAGTTTCCTTCCTGATCTCTAGTCTGTGCATCAGAATAAATTCATTGCCCTGATCTGTGATTTGTTGAGCAGATAATTGTGAAGTTAGGGGTGGGAGAGAATGCAGAGCTGTGCTTCAGCTGAACCATGTGAGATCCTGCACTCAGAGGTGCAGCTATATGCCAGGAATCCTATCCTAACTCTAATCACTTTCTGGGCATATAAATTTACCCCATATTTGAGCACACAGAGTTGCATACACCAGGAGAAATGAAGGTCTTGGAATGTTTGAAAAACATCCGCAGAATTTCAATGGTTATGGCACAATATGCAGTGAAATCCATGAAGTCTGATCTTGTATTCTTAGTGA